TCTTCAGGCTCTCTCCCCTCCCCAGAGGTCAGGGGGTGAGACTGAAAGTTCCAACCCTCTGATCACAAGGTTGGATTCCCCCAGGCAACCAGCCCCCAACCGGAGGTGCTTTCCAAAAGTCGCCTCATTAGCATAACAGACACCTTTACTGCTTTCGTCCCAGGGAATTCCAAGGATTTTAGGAGCTCTGTGCCAGAAACTGGGAGAGACCAAATATATATATACATACATACATATGTCTTCTTATAAATCACAGTATCACACCTAATTAACTAGAACTCATTCTTCATAAGAAGGAATTTGCTACAAATATCACTGTCTTTAAGTAATAATTATTTATGTGAAACACATAAAAGCTGTTCATTCAAAAAATATTTATCGAACTCCTACTATGCACCTGGTACGTTGCTAACTGTTCCTGCCCCGAAGCTTTCAGGCTAGGGCAGCCTTTCTCAACTGAAATTCCTCATCTGTGGATGCATGCATAGGAGATAATTTATTATATGCAATGGATGCCCTAGGGCATGAGGGCTTAATTGTTAAAAAACTGATCTAGGGTGCCACACAAGTTAAAAGGAGATTACAGTAAGATAAAAAAGGTTGCTTTTAGTAAGGTCAAATTCAACTGTTAAACCTAGCCATGTATGGGTGAGTGGAGGGATGGGTGAAAAAGGTGAAGGGGAGGAAGAGTACACTAATCTTGATGAGCACTGAGTAATATGTGGAAGTGTTCAATCACTATATTGTACACCTGAAACTAATGTAAGACTGTACGTTAACTACCCTGGAATTAAAAAAAAAAATAACCTAGCCAGGTATGAACTACCTGGTAGGAGCCAAGATGCACGGACTATTTGTAAGGCTTGTGTGAATGCAAAAATACTGCAATACACACATCTGAATTAATTTCTAAACATAATAAAATGAACTCATCAATATTTTCCAGGCTCAGCAATGTCAGGCCAAGGGTTTTAGTAAAGTGAAGCAGGGGGGGAAACAAAAGCTTAATTACCCTGATAATTGAAGGAAACCGAGAACCTTCTTGCTGCAAAAAAGAAAAAAAAAAAAAAAAAAAAACAGCAATTACCTGAATTATTTTATTAACTGCCTCCAATATTGCTTCACTGGACTGGCCTTGCCTTGGACTCAAAGTAATAAATTAGTTATCCATTTCACTAATTATTTTAAATATTTTTGGTCTGATTTTGAATTTTCATTCCACCTTATGCAGTCTAATTGCTTTCTAGTCCTGAGCCTCTTTGATTCGACATTTTCTGTGTGATATTACTATATGCTGCATGCTTCATGGAACCAAAGCAGTTTGAGAGCTTCTAGAATCAGAGACAAATTTTTTCCAGTATTTCACTCACAATTTAAGCTTTCATTTATCAATGACATAGAAATTCATGCCTGTTTGATATCATTCTGACAAGCTAAATTGACAGCATCTACTTGGCCCAACTCCTCTGAATCTACTTTATCAAGGAATGTCTTCTTTTGAATCTTTAGCATGAAATAATGTCAAAAAGGTCTGGGGGCAGGGCACCTGGCTGGCTCAGTGGAGCACGCGATGACGCTTGATCTTGGAGTTGTGAGTTGGAGCCCCACATTGGGTGTGGAGCTTATGTAAAAATAACATCTTTAAAAAAGGGGAGGGGGTAACTCATTGTTTAGACTCTCATTAAGTCTTTAAACCCATGTGAAAATGCTCCTGCAATCATTAGGAATTTTATGAAGAGTAAAAGGATAATATAAAAGTCCCTGACCCCTAAGTCTCAACTAGTCCAGACTTCCAATTAGACATGCCTTTAAAGGAAATAAATTGTATAGACAAAGCTACTATTTTTTATTATATTTATGGAAAATGGAGATTTTGATTGGGAATAAGTGGTGCTTTTATTATACTCAGACACGCAACTCTTAAATCTTCTAAGACACCCCCTACATGCCTAAACCCTAAAATCCTACACCAAATCCACCAAATTTCTACCTCAAAACTGTCAAAAGAAAAGTCATAATTCATCAGAAAAAAAAAGTATTATTAATGGCAAGGAAGTCAAGGCCATATCTTTAAGAAATACAATGAAGTACTATTTCTTTTAGCTTGAAATTGGAGAACCTGAGGAGATGGCATTTTTAAGACGATTCAGCAAACACTACTGAGCTACAGAAGATGATGCTACTCCCAAAAAATATTTACTTCCCACCTCAGGTTTAAAATGTAAAGCCCTATGGCAACATGTATCTAGTTTTCAGTGACCAACAACTACAATCAACACCACTGTAATTTCTGTCATGTTCAAAGTCTATTTGAGATACATATAGGTACACACAGAAAACCACTTAATTTTGAAAGGAATTCACAGCCCTACTTCTGAAATACAAAAGCCATCATAAGACAGCACCCAACTTGGACTATATCTACATTGCCATGCAAGTCTCAAAGTCCAACCTAAATCTCAAACTGTAGCCTTCCAGTGATTTAAATAGGAGTGCTCTTCAAATAATCTCTACCAGGCAAAAGATGAGGACAGCAGACGTACTGATCTAGGGGAGATAAAATTTGCCCCCCTCCCATTTTCCAAGTCATCTTTAGCAATGAGTATTCAAGAACATATTTCACATTCAGTCCAATGGTTTGCAGATTAATTCCTTGCCCGAGGCCTCCGGCTCAGATACAACTCCTGAGAACCTTACAGCTTACTGCACTGGTACAAATTCCCAAGACTTCCCATAGTCATGGTTGCGCAGGAAAACGTGAGCAGTCGGGTATTTCAGGCGAACAATGAGGTCAAAGCTCATTTCAGTGTGAGCGTAAGTGATTCTCTGCAGAGATCTTGGTCGGGGATGCAAAGTACTAGCCTCAAACCTGCAGGCTGGCACCTCAACCACTGCTGCAAATTCTACTGCGTGCCCTAGCTTCCTGGGCCAGCACTGCTTAATTACCAGACCCTGATACAATGCAGATCATTCTTAGCAAAAGAAAATCAAAGGCGGCTTTTAGACCAATAGTTGGGTTGTATGGTTTCAAATGTTCAAACCCTTAAAAAAAATCGGGGATGTCAGCATCTCAATTTTAAGATAATGAATTCATTATGAACCAGAGTCCAGTTGTTTTCGCCTATTCAAGTGCCCTGTGAAAAGATTATCCTTCTCCAATTATTACAGTTCGCTCTGTCACCTTTCCCTTTTTGTCAGCCCCAACAACACTCCCAGATCACAAGAATCTAATGTGAAATACAACTATGAAGGACAATGCTTTTGTACCTTCTCAGGCTAAATGTGAGAAACCAATTTTCGTCCCTTGCTTTGGCAAAGCATCCAGTACAAGCCAATTCCTATAGATTTCAAGATGCTGGATATGTACAACCTCTTTTGCTCTGTGCCACAGGTAATCTCCAATTGCATAAGACAGGTTTCTGGGTGAGGTAAACATTTAGAAAAACATTAACATAGCACTACTGTGATAATATCCTCAAAAGGGATGTACAATTATTTCTTTTAGCCAGGGTTCATTCGTGAAAGTTTCAAATGCAGAAAAAAATGAGAGCAAATTCATCCGACGCCTGAAAAAAATGTTAGCAATGCTTTGATAAGGAATAATCACATGAAAAGGGCCAAATCGACAAGTTCTCAAACATATATTTTAATGGGGGTGGGTGGGAGCGCACAGCACTGAACCATTTTTCTGAACGACTGAAAAAAATCAAAATTTACAGATGAGCCCTTTCCTTCACATCATTGGCAGAAATAAAATCCTATTCCCGCCACCTCATCTTGCAATTAAGGAAGTTGCTACAAATAGCAGCACAGAAGTAAATGGTCCCGGCTTTGCTCCATTCTTAATGTACTCTCTAGGAGTAAACAGGTTACTCAAAAAAGTCAGTAGCCAGAAATCGCTTTTCTCGAATGCCAAACTCCCACGGAAATACAGTTCCCTTTTCTGGGGATTTGCAAGGGGTAAACGTGGACGGAGGAATTCAGCCGGAGCCTGCCTTTTCTCACGGGCTCGAAGTACGGGGCGTTCAGGGCTCGGTGAGGTTTCAGACGCCGCCGTGCAGCCTCCTCGCGTCTCCACATCCACCCAGCCCACCCTGACAATCGCCTTCGCTTTTATTATACCCTAAAGGTGAGCTTCTTAGGCTGGGTCTCCAAAGTTTGCTCAGCCTCTGGTCAGCAGACCCCCTCCCGGCCGATCCCCGGGCAAGGCTGAGTCCTGCCCTCGCCTCCAGCTCCCTCACTCCCCAGGTCTTTTTTTTGGGACACAGTGACAGGTCTAGGTTTACCTCCATGTGCTCGTGGCAGAGGAAACAAAAGAAAGCAACCTCCCTGATAATAAAACGCCATCTTCGACTAACTGGCAAACCGAGGGGCCCCTGGACCGGTCCCCCCACGAATCCCACCACCATCCAGCCGGAGGGCGGCCCCCGGTCGGAGACAGAGTTTGCAAAACCCCGGGAAGCTCTGGTTAAATTGTCCGGGGGGAGGGGGACTCTGGGAGCCTTACCTGCCTCCCCACCCCGGCCGCCCGGGCAACGTGGTTCAGTTAAAATCTAAAAGAGGGTGGTGGTGGTGGCTCCCACCGATGCAATTATCCCCTTAGAAAATTGCTCCGAAGGACCCAGCGAACGGCTGGCGAGCAAGCAAACCGCACGCGTGGAGCCGCAGCGAGTGTACTTACAAAACGATTAAAGCTCCGGCGGAACATCGCGACGAAGGCTGCCGGGCGCCGAGCTGGGCTCTACTGAGCTGTCTGGGAAGGTGCCGTCCACAAAACACACTGCGGCGTGGGCCGGCGGCGTGAAGCGGGCGGCGAGGCGGGCGGCCCCGCCACCGCCTGCCCTCCTAGGCTCTCCGCGCTTCCCCCGCCCCCCAGCCGCCCGCGCCCTCGCGCCCCCCCCCCGCCCCGCTCCCGCCCCACTCACAGCCCGCCCCCGGCCCGCCCGTCTCGGGGGCGGCGGCCCCGCCGCTCCCCCTGGTCTGGCCCCAGTACCGCCGCCCCGCCGCTCCCGCAGCAGCCTGCTGAGAAGGCGAGCCTGGCGCGCGGGGGAGGGATGGCGGAGGAGCACTAGGCTCCTCCCGCGGGGAGGGGGGCGCCCCAATCTCTCCGCCTGCGCCGGGCTCGGCACCCCGCTGTCTGCACTCTTCCCCGGCACAGCGCCACCGCCCGCCCTCCCTCCCCGCCGGCCTCGGCAGCTAGCACGCGTGCTTCCGCCCCACTTGGGGCACGGGGGACCCTCCCGGGGCACCCCGCGCCTCACCTCGCCTCAGCACCACACTACTTACTCCCCTGCCCCGGCCCTAACTCGTCCGCGGCACCGCTTCGCTCGCAGCCCTTTCTCGGTCCGCGGCAGCCGCTCTGCCCCGCGCTTTCGTCCCGCACCCGGGCTGGGGAACCACTGTGCAGTCCGCCGGCCCGCCCCGAGCACGCGAGGCAGCCGGGCTCCCCGCTACGCGGCGGGGAGGAGCCGGGCTCTCAGCGAGGAGTGGGGACAGGCAGGACACTGTGGAGACCCCAGCGGGGGCGGAGCGGGGGGATTAGTTATGAAAGCCGCCCCCTCCTCATCTGCAAAGGCGCGGGTCTCCCCACCACCCTCGCTTCGCTCCCACCTACGCAGCTTTCCCTCCTCCAGTTCTTTCTCCCGTCCTGCCTCCCCGCCTAAGCCGTCTTACTTCCACTTTCTCTATGAGGTTGTAAAGTCAGGCTTTGTGTCGCTGCCGCTGCGCAGCGGGGCGGGATTTCCCTCCCACCCCCCCACCCCAAGCCCCTCCCCCTGGCCCCCTCCTCCGCGCATCTCCCAGAGCATCCTGGGAGTTGTAGTCCAACCGTGCCCCCGTTCCGCCTCGTACTGCGGGCTGGGAGCTCCCCCACTCGCCCGGACGGGGTTTGCCCAAAGGGTTGAAGGAGGAAGCGGCTGAGACCGCTGCGCCGAACCGCGGTTCTCGGCTCCGGCTGGATGTGGTGGCCCGGAGTGCTCCGTAGATTCCCGCGGTGAGAAATGTGAGGAGGATAAATGAGGCAAAGCCCTGAATGCTGGGAGCCTTGCCTAGGACTCAAAATTTATGCTCCAGGAAACCCTCTACACTCTCGGCTCCTAGTTTGGAACTGGAATTTGTGAAACTTCAAAAATTAAATATAAAACCTGAATCTCGAATTGCCACGAGACCGGGCATCCCAACCCCCACCTCAGCCGGTTTGCACCGCCCTGTTGGCTTGCCCCGAGGCTGCTGGAGAAGAACTTTCAGATTCCTCTATAAAAGTAAAGATGAAATAAGTAGAGAGTTGAGAAACATTTACCCGAGCCTCCTGCCGCGCCACATTCTCCTGCCAGTTTCGAGCTGGGTTCAGGGTCAAGCTACACCACAGGCCTCCCCTCAGGTCGTGAAGGGCCTTTGCTGCTGGGCACAGGCGCTTCTTTTCCTCTCTCGGGTTTAGATTTATTTCAACAAATCTTTACTGGGCATTTTCTTTGTACCAGGCACTGTGCGAGGGGCTGGACACGGCGACTACTTAAAAAAGACCTCCCCAACAGGGTGCTTGCAATCTAATGGGGGGTGGGGGGGATAGCGACAGGCAAAAACCACGTTTGAAAGTAATGACTGCTAGAGTAGAGACTCCCAAGTGCTGAGGGAAATTCAGCAGAGCGATACTGCATCCCAAAAGGGGCTGGGGAAGCTTTCCTGAAGGCTCTGGAGATTGAACTGGACCTTGCAACGTGGGAAGGTTGTAGAGGGTGTGACCGAAGGAGCCCAGTGGGCAAAGTCCAGGCCGAGGGAGAGGTCGGTGAGAGGTCGGTGAGAAGGCGCAGTGCAAGCTAAGAAAAAGAACACATCGTCTTGGCAGACGCCCGGGATGTGTGGGTGGGGCGGCCCAAATGAACATTAAAACCCAACAGGATCTTCAGAAACACCCTCCGAAGTTCGAACTTGATTCTGTGAGCAATGAGTAGCCCATCCCCAATGAAGTGCCAATGCAGGAGACTTAAGGTACGTTCCCAAATAGTCTTAATTGCCAAGAAGTAATACGATTGGAAACATTCGCAATTCTTTCCCTATCACGGTTCCTTCTGTTTGTTCACACTTGAGGCTATATCTAATGATTTTTAAGATTTATGTTAGATGTATATTAATCAGATATTAGGATATTTATTTTATTGGCAAAATGGATCTAAGGTTTTGTTCTGTACTATTTCAAAGATTTATTTTCGAATAGAGTTTATTTTCTGGCTTTACTTTATTGAACACAGCAACTAATATAATTTAATTCACTAATTGTTGAACACCTACTATGTGGCAGGCACTTTTCTAGATACTGAAATTTGGAGGTGGAAGCAGTGATTATCATTTGTTCTAGGAATAAGTATAGAATTCTTATCAATAAAATACATCCTTATCAATAAAATAGGTAATAGAAAATGAATTTAGATGTTGGAGATGCAAGTACTTACTAGTAAATAATAAGTAATATCTTTCCATATACAATTTTGTTAAACAAAAGGAAAAAATGTACTTACAGATCCAAACAGATCAACTTCTAAAAAAAATTTTTTTTTCTTTTTTTAAGTAATCTCTACACCCAATGTTGGGAGGGTTCAAACTCACGACCGGGAGATCAAGAGTCACAAGCTCCAACGGCTGAGCCAGCCAGGTGTCTCTCAAACTGATCAACTTTTAAAAAAACTAGAGAATTAGGGGCACCTGGCTGGCTTAGCCCATAGAGCAAGTGACTCTTGATCTCCGGGGCATGAATTTGGAACGCCCCCCAACACTGGGTGTAGAGAATACTTAAAAAAAGAAAAAAAATTAAAAATTAAAAATTAAAGAACTAGAAATTATTTTGCAGTATTCTCTCACACACCATTGTGTATTATGTCACATGCCATTGCTATGTTGTCCAGCTTAAAAGCAAGGCATTTTGATCCCCCAAGATATAGCAATATTGCTCGTCTAATTTTCATTTGTTATTGTAATTCTGCTATCTCTGTGTCCTAATTATTTCATCACAACACCCATACTCATGGGTCCAGACTAATTTGCTTGACTATAAAAATGCAATACACAAATCAAAATATGCTCAGCAAAACACGAAATTTATGCAAGGTAATTTTTTCCCATATCCAAACCCAACTTGAAATTAGTTACTCTCATAAGCACCCTTTAGAATTACTTTCCTTTGTGAGCTTCTTTAAGACCAGAAGAAATTATTTTTCTTCTTTTCAGTACCTCTTCACAGTTTCCAAAGAAAACCTAGGTGTTGTAGAAAGCTGTTGTCGATGACTATGAAAAGCAAGCCCATCAGCCAGCATTTTTCATTTGGCCAACTGCATAAACAGAACTGCAAAAACTAACTTCCTCCTGACTAAACTGTCAGAACCCGTGGTATACAGCAACTCTTGTGGTGTTATCAGCTGACTTCAGCAGAAGCCCCAGTCTCCTGCAGGCAGGAATTCTGAGGAAGCAGTCTTCTGTCCTTATTACTATCGTGACTACATATAATGCTTACTGTCAGAAAAAGGGAAAGTGTTCTTCCTCCACTATTTCAATTCTGCTGCCCATTTCTATGCAAGCCCCTCAGAAGCCCTTCTCTATTGCTTCCCTTACTCTTTCCCACCTTCTACCTCAGCCCCTCAGAATTCTCACCATGGCAAATGGGCAGAACAACCACTAGGGCACAGGATGGCAGTCCACACTTGGGAAGGAGGGGAGCAAACTGCTTCTGGGATCAGTCAGTTGATCAGCAATTCAGGATCCCATCAGGAAGGGAATGGTGAGAAGGAGACACTTTTTCCATCTAATACTAAAAAAAGAAAAAAAAGAAAAAAAATTGAAGCTGTTATATCAGCATCTAAATCACTGCCATCAGCAAGTTAAAGAAATTTAACTGTCTGCTGAGCTTTCAAACATACTTCATAAGACTACCTTTTGCCCATTTGAAATTTCTTTCTCCCTTCCAAGTCTGGCCCTAACACTTACTTAAAACTGATTTTATCCATATCTTCCTAATTATTGGCTCTCTCCAATTCATTCTGCACACTGCAACCCCAGAAATCTTTGGAAGACAGATCAAATCACTCCCCTACTTAATGACTTTTCAGCAGCTTCTCATCACTCTTAGGATAAGTCCCGAATCTTGCCTGAACATCACCTTCTAGGCCCTGAATTCTCTGGCCCCTGCCTTCCTCTCTAGCATAAAGGTGGGCCTACTCTCCCTCTTAGTCACCAAGCTCCACCCCACTGGCCACCTTTCATCCCTTGAGTTCCCAAAGTTTCTTTTTCCTGGGCAGCTTTTGCACATACAACCATCCCCACTGGAATGCTTTCATGGACTTTGCCATTCACCCTTCAGATCTCAGTTTAGGTGTCACTTTGTCAGATAAGATCAGGGCTCCCTGTTGTAGTGCTCCAAATAGCCCATATTAATTACATCGAGGGCACTGACAAATGAGGTTAGTAATCATGGAGAACAGCAGAAGTCCAAAGGGACTGTGGATGATCTAATGTTGTTTTGCTTTTCAAAATGGAGAAGTAGGTATATTTTAGTAATCATGATACCAAAGGCACGCAAGTTAGAACTCTGACTATTAAAAGGATACCAAAGGCATGCAAGCTAGAACTCTGACTGTTAAAAGGATGGGGTATTTTAGTACAGTGGAAGAGAAGAGGCAATCTCTAGGAATCACAATGAATTCATTGAGATATAGTTTGGCCTTTAAGATTCTGAGAAAATGATTTCTAATTCAGAATTCTACATCCTCTCAAGCTACATGGGGAAGATAGACAGAGACTAGAGACAGAGAAGATGGTATGGCATAAGAAGAGTAAATCTTTATCTTCCATAATGAGTCATTAAGTCAAAATATATCAGTATAGTTATATTATTTAGAAATAAGGAGGTAAACATCAGGAGAAGCAGCTAAAATAATGAAAAGTACTTGCTTCTAGATGCATAGATTGAGAATGGAAAAGGATGGGATAAGAGACTTTTCTGTTTTCTCTTTATAAGTCTTATAACTAACTTTTAAACTATGAGCATACACTATTTTCATAAAAATAAAAATAAGTTTGAAAATACAAATAGCATTTGGACACGTAGACAGGAAGTAGGAGAACATTCTAACCAAGATAAATGGCAAAGATGTGGAGGTGAAAATATTCCAGTAAATGGTAAGTAGACCTGCCTACAGGAGCAATGGGTCCATGTTGAGGAGTAGTAAATGATATAAAGTTTATTTTATTATTTATTTATTTTTTAAAGATTTTATTTATTTATTTGACAGAGAGGGACAACAGCGAGAGAGGGAACACAAGCAGGGGGAGGGGCAGAGGGAGAAGCAGGCTTCCTGCAGAGCAGGGAGCCCGATGCGGGGCTCGATCCCAGGACCCTGGGATCATGACCTGAGCCGAAGGCAGATGCTTAACGACTGAGCCACCCAGGTGCCCCAAATGATATAAAATTTAAACCTCCCTTCTCAGGAAGCAACTAAAATATACATTCCATCATATGAGAGAGTAAAGCAAGAAAGAAGAATTCATGAGATCCAGAAAATGGGATGAACATAAAAGAGAGGTGAAGGAAATTCCTGGTATGATAATGAAAGAAAGTTTGAGGTAGACAGCTGTGTGGCACACCTAGGGAGCAGCCAGGCTAGTGGAGAGTGGGAAGATGGAGGGATACAGGAGGGATGTCTCTAGAGAAAAAAATTTTTGAAAATTAACTGATAGATTACCTGATGTGTTTGACCATGTTAAGAATAGTATTCAGAAAGGTTTTACAGTTGAATGGGAAATTAGTGAAGAATTAGTGACTGATACATAGAAAATAAAGCCAACTAGGAAAAACCAAGGCTTGTAACTCCAGGAAAAACTGAAAGTTGCACAAAAAAGTAAATGAGTCATGATAAAATGCTACTTGGCGGGGCGCCTGGGTGGCTCAGTCGTTGGGCGTCTGCCTTCGGCTCAGGTCATGATCCCAGCATCCTGGGATCGAGCCCCACATCGGGCTCTCTGCTCGGCGGGAAGCCTGCTTCTCCCTCTCCCATTCCCCCTGCTTGTGTTCCCTCTCTCACTGTGTCTCTCTCTGTCAAATAAATAAATAAATTCTTAAAAAAAAAAAAAATGCTACTTGGCTTCAAAGTGAAAGACATTTACATAGCCATAACAATGAAAACACTATCTTACTGATTTACCAAATTGCAAATCTTTTGTAGAATGAAGGGAACACAAGTTGGAAAGGGTGATGTTGTAAGAGGTCTAAATCTGTATCTTCCATAATAAGAAGACAGTCAGTACTATCTAAAACTTGAAAGAGCAAGAAACATCAGTATAAGTATATTATATAGAAATATATAAGTAAATACTAGAAGAAATAGCTAAAATTATTCAAAGTAGTTGCTTTAGTAGTATAGATCAGAAATTGGGAGAGATGAAATAGGGTTTGCTTTTTTTCTTTATAAGTCTTATTAATCTATTTAACTTTATGAGTATGCATCACTTTCAAAAATAAAAATTAATAAAAAGAGTAAATTGCATTTTGAAAGGGCAGAAAGGAAAGAGAGCATTCTAGCCAAGAGAAACAGCAAAGATATGAAGTAGTAAGTAGACATCCCTAGCAGAGTGTGGGTTCACAATGCAGAGCAGTGAAAGATAATTTTAATAGCTATCATTTATTGAGTACTTGCTATGTGTTAGGTACTGTGCTAAGCACTTTATATTACATTATCTCATTTATTCTCACTAACCCCATATGGTACCACTATTATCCTCATTTTATAGATGAAGAAATGGAGAAGTTAGGGAACTTGCCCGAAGTCACAGCTAGAAAATAGTAGAGCAAAGAGTCAAAAAGATCTACTAGACAGCAAATCCATACCCTTAAACACCATATTTTGAAGGCATAATTAACAACATTTGATCACTGATTTAATTTATGGGACAAAGGAAAGAAAGAGGTGAATTCAAAATGACTCTAAGGAATTAAGGCTCTGTGA